AACGAATGCGGAATATATGCTTAGCTCATGAAACTGTGCGTAAGCTTTACTTCGGCCCTGATTTTTTTTTACTTTTCGAATTTAATTTATGAACTCAGCTGTTCAGTTTTCCCTGTACGAGATAAATTTGCTATAGCAGATTTCTTGTGATTCTTTTCCAAGTTCTTGAATTTGATGAATTTTTGCATTCCATTCTGCCCCACAACAATTTTACATGTGCCTATTTATATACAAAATATACATTTAATTTGAAAGGCATTTTTTTAGGCGAAAAAATTAAACGACTAACGTGCAACCCATTTATTCTTATTTTTTAATAAACGCTAGGTCCATAGAGAAACTCGTGGTGCAACAACTTTTCTGCACACTGGTGACGAGTCCTAAGTGAAATTGTTTATGGTGTTTAAGTTAATTTAAGCCACACTGTGTGCACTAGTTTAATTTTGATGCCTACTGTTTAAATGGGCGCGTGTTACGCAGTGGTCGGAGGCGCCTTGCAAAACACACGTGGAATCGATCTACGCGCGCATGGCCCACCAAGCCTTCCATCCCTCTGGTGTCTGCAAATTGATACCAGACTTGTCTGGGAGGATGGCAGCACTGGCTCGACACATCGGTAGGCAACCGCGAGTCATTGTAGAGGTCATATATGCATTCAGTCACCTGCAAACGATTCCTATTGAAGTTGCATGGTGCATGGCGCATCCCTCAGGTACTGATTAACGCCGAGAGCTTTATCTTTATTCTTTTACTGTTTAAGTAAATATATTGCAAGGGTAACTTATAAAATTCTTGTCTTCCTTCTAGTTTATATCCATGTTTTCCGTCCTAATGGTGCTTAATATTTAATCATAAGCGATGCAACAAATTATTTATATACTTTATTAAGATCGAAGAGAAACCGTTGGTTTTGCTGTTAAGCGGTGCCAAAGGGAGCGGTAAACGTCTGCTGACTACTTGTCTGGCTCAAGCGACACATCGAAACCTTATTGAAATGAGTTGCTATGACGTGTGGACTGAAGTTGCCTCTCAGTCAGAGGCGAAACTCAAAAATGTCTTCGAAAAAGGTCCGGTTCTACTTCTATTTACGTATTTTGTCCCATAAAAAACTGTTTTGTAATTGCGTTTACATTGTTTTCGGCGACATGTGAGCTATACATCACTCATATCGTCCATAATGTGCCTTATATGATGGAGATCCGTGGTATAATGTGGCAGGCGCCGGAATTTGCAGCTCTTAGTCAGTCCTACTGAAAAGCCATCATAATAGGAATCGTATTTTGCTTTCTAAATTTCTACATATTTTACCAAAGTGGTGAATATTTCTTTCTAACTCATGGACGAAGAGCGAGCAAACTTCAGATGAAGCTTCTTGAAACTCAAGTTAATGTAACTGTTCACGTTTTGAATCTAAAGAAGCGGAAACTACTTTTACTTGTTTTCAAGGTTTCATATAGTCTTTTCATTGTTAGCTAGAATTTAATTACTGAGCAAATAAGAAGAAAAGTGGATATTTTCCAATATTAGGCATTCTTCAAATCGTCTAAAAATCGAAGTCAACAGATGATATCATTTTAGTGAAGTCATTCCAACCGGCCATTTTGCACTTAGCATCCATCGATGTTCTTGGATACGACGCTGTGACTAACTCCATCGGCGAGTTCCTTTTTCTTAAGTGGGAGCTTTTACCGTCTCATTTTGAAATCACGTGTTTTTTGTTTGACCTGATTACTAATAGAAATCATGCAGCTACTGAGACAAATAATCAGATCGGCTGATTTCTTGCTATTCATAAGCAACGAATCTGTATGCTTTGTTTTAAACCTATATTAATTAGTTCCCGTCGTTTCCTTTCTCGCATAAAGCCTTTGTGCTCTACTTTTCTTATCCGATAGACAACTTGCCCTAAGTTTTGTTTTCTTTTACTTGATCCCTCATCACATCTACCGTTTGAATGCTAGCGTTTCCAGCATTCGTTTCATTTTCTCCCGTCCTCTAAGGCTTTCAAATTTTTTGTGTACGCATTCGGCTGCAGCTTAAGGTTTTTTGTTTCTGTTATGAATGTCGTTGCAAGCTGATTCGACTCGATTCTTTCTGAAGTCTTGCTAGCCGTGTTAGAGCCTTCCTAGTACTATGCACATACATAGATACTTACTGCTCTTAGTGTGGAATTCTACGAAGCGAAGGGTTGGACATTATTTTCTTATTATGCTTAGTTGTTGGAAGCCGTCTTCCGTGTAACTCGTATAGGTTTAGAAGAAGTGACAATGTGAAATAGAAATACCCATTGAATATGCTAGTTGAAGTAGGAAATTTCGCTCAAACTTCGAAATAGACTCTCTGGTCATCCTCATAACGTATGAATAAGCTTTCTTATTCATAACAAAAGCTTTGCTTGCCATGAGTGCCCACTTTTCATTTGTAGTTCGTAAGCTTTTGAAGTTGACTAGAGTACACGCGAACCGTTGCTGTGGTGCCAGTGGCTGGAATTCGGAGCTCAGCTTTGCTTCCAAATCCCTTCAACAACATAAACACTTTCTCTTACAGAGAATTTCTCTCAGATTGCTGTATACCGAAATATTCATTATCATATACCAGACCAGATTCATCTATTCTACTATGTAAAGACGTATCCCAAGCAGTTTTAAGATGAAAGTATCCTAGAAGAGCTATGTCTTTAGATTGCTAGTGGAAAGTTTCTTCTGTTAGTCTATAACGATATTAACATCTCAAATAGTGTAGCTATCCAGCAGTTATCGGCAATTATCAGGAAAACAAAACGGTCGTGAACGTGTAAAAATCGTTATTGGTCTTTAACCGGATAAAGCAGAGAAAGCTTCGTTTATCACTAATTGTTTTTTGTGTAAGATAATGGTGTGACGGCCACTAATGCTCCTCACGGTGAGCGGCCTAACTCCTTTTCTAAGGGGTTAGGGCACAGATTGATTAAAGTCAGTCGCGAAGTAGGGTGCTCTTTCATGATTTCTTCGGTGCTCATGGAAGTCTACAAGCTGCCGACTTCCTTTTGATCAACTTTGGCGCTAATTCCTTCATTATATTGATTTTCTGACCTACATAGACGTAGGTGGAGCATTCGGAGTTATTCAGTTCGTTGAGCGTGAATGGGGCATGGGAAATAAATCCGTTCTGTATGAACATGGTTCTTCTCAGATTTAGTCGTGGATCAATCTTTCCATAGACTCAAATCCGGCTAGCATTCGTTCCGCCTCGCTAATGTTGGTATTGGAAAAACAAAGTCAAAACGGAGCTAAAATGGTAGAATTGCCGATGATCAATTTTCACTCCCATGTTGTCCCATTGAAATGTTCGCATGATGTTCTCGAGGCTGGCAGTAAATATTTTTGGCAGGTATCGCCCTTCCTAACCCCTCTTTTGACGTTAGTGTTAGTATTCTTAAAGAATGGCAATATTTTGGTCGTGAACGTTTTATATAGCTCACGAAGAATCTTCATATACTGAATAGGGGCTCCCTGGTTGTCCAGAGCTTCCATGACTGCCTCTGCCTTAACTGATTCAAGAACTTTCCATAATTCGATGAAAGTGAGGGAAAGCGATCTCTTGTACTTACACGATACTTCAGTGAGTTTTGCTATTGTGTGGATGTGGTCGATCGTGCCAGTCTTTTTCCAAAGTTCCACTTGCTCACATGGCTATCCTTCGTTCAGTGTTTTGCCAATATGAGAGTCAACATACACTGTAAGTTCATATCGTCACCGTAAGTGCTTTGTGATTTAGACACCCGAGAATGGCCCTGAGATTTTAGAACAGAAATGCTCTTCCTGCCCAACGCTGCTATATCGGGGCTGTTTCGGGAACAGATGAATAGCGGCCTTTTATTTTGCTGTGTTTAGCCTTCGGTACACAGTTAGAGCTTTCTCAGCTTTGGACGTGGGAGCTCATCTACTCACGGATAGTTTGTCTTCCTTGTCCAGGTAGGTTGTTCGTCACAAGTGACTCCTAACCGCCTTTCATGCACTTCATAATGACTTTATTACAAGCTTTTGGTCGAACTGTTTCCTAGAATACAGTCTGCGTAAATGAGAATACAGCTGCTCATGCATGAGAATGTCTAGGTAAGATACAGAATATATGTGCAAAATTGGCTTAGAAAAAGTAGGGTTCTCATCAAAAACCTAGCTATCTCTTAGAACAGCACACAGTCGCCTTTGGTCCGTGTTTAACCCTCTATCCGCCGCATTAGGACGCACTGCGTTGCCTCGCGACCAAGAGGATAGAGATCCCTCGCTTAAGGAAGTTTTCATAGCTTTCCTGAAAAAGGGAGAATCTACTTAAGGTAACAGTATCATGTGGAATGATTTCAGAGACGACTGCAGATCCCTTTATTGTTATCGGCGCCCTAAATGCAGAAAGATATCCCACCACATTGCAAGGTGAAATCTAACCATTTATCAGTACTTCAGTGAAAATTGAAGACTTGGTTTTCATACAAGATGGCACTTTTCCCACATTATGCTATTCTTGTTCGTGAGTGGTTGAATGTCCACATTCTTGGGAGATGGATAGATTGCTGTAATTCACGTGAACGTGCATCCAGAAGTTCTGACTTAATAGCCTGCGACTTTTTTTTTAGGTTGGTTAAAGGAGCAGGTCTACGCCTAGCCAATCAATATCTTTGTAGGAATATGAAAATCGAATACGAAAAGTTATCTCTTCCATCTAATACCCGTGTAATTATGAATAAAACTCCATGATATGCGTTTCCTTCCCATGTTTGTCTCCTATAAAAATTACAGTTGAGAGACAAGTTATAAAAATTTTGCAATAGGGAGTTACTTGTCGACCGCCGTTTGGATTACTCACTAGTACAGACGAAGATTTTTTCCAGACATGCGAGTGCTGTCGGTGTTACGTACGTTGCTCGATGAACCCATTAAGGCGACAATTGTATTTTCATGTAATTCTGATCAGGTTATGGTTTATTTCAACTGGTGCTATTACCCCTCTTTTTAAAACTTTTCTTGGACACAAGCATTTTTTGTTTTCTATTCTTTTTTATTTATGTTGCAAAGTATAATAGCTTTTGTTATGCTGTAAAGAAGAACAGTTTTTGTAAGGTTCCTCAACTGTCTCCCTCTCTTTGCTCTCTGGTACTCTACAACCTAGTGATAGACTATTTCGACGAAAGCGATCGTTTATACTTTTTTTCATCTCGACTGCCGCCACATTTAGCTACATTTGCCGCAAAGAACACCACGGTACTGTGTCATGTTATGAAGTTTTTTTTTTCATTTCGTAAAAATTTAGACTCTTGAGTATTTTTAAAACTATCCAATGAGTCTTATACGATCTACTGCTTCATCATGGTTAGAGGTGTAGTTTCTCGGTGTTGAACTGCCGCGTATAAAACCATGCTCATCTCCGTCTCCGCTCATCCATCACACACAGGAAGAAGGAGACGATCGAGCGCCGTTTAGTGGAAAAGTGAATCGCGGGTGAGATTACATCTCTCGTTCAGTCTTCCACTCCATTCGGTTTTATCCTTCTACTCCGAATCGCTGTGTGTAACTATGTTGTGATATTCGACATGAATCTTTACCGTACTAAAGAAGGTAACTTCTCTGACACCTCAGTCACAATAAAGAGTATTACAAACTGCGTGCAAGATTGTAAATAGAATAATGGTTGTAAAATGAAAGTCGGCACCAAAGTGCTGACCCATGTCAGCAAGCACCGCTGGCTGTATCGAAATATAGAGTAGATTGCCAACTTGCCTTTAGTGACAACTGTGGTCTCAACTATGTGTTCTTTTAGGACTAGAAGAAAATGTTTGTCCTGTTAGCTGAAGCTCTACCACTTTTATAGGATGTAGTCCAGAAAATCAAGTAGTTTCTTCTAACGTTGGTTAGAACCAATCATACAAAAAGTGCTCACCTTTCGTCCTAATTGCTTGATAATTTTTATAAACAGCCCCGAAATTAAGCAATTTTCTCGAGCTCACATAAATCTCCCGAAAGGCGAGTGTGGCGCAGTGGTCGGAGGCACCGTGCAACACACACGTGGAATCGATCGCCACGCCCATGGCCCACCAAGGTTTCCATCCCTCCGGGGTCACAAATTGGTGTCAGACTAGTCTGGGAGGACAGCAGCACTGGCTCGATAACATCGATAGGTCCATTGTAAAGGCCAGATTTGCTTTGATTCACCTCTAAACGATGCTTAATGAAGACGAGTGCATGTAGCATTCCTCAAGGATTGACCAACGCCAAGAGCTTTATCCTTTTTTATTTTATCCCATGTAGATGTAAATTCTTTTCGAATATTTCAAATGCTTGCAAAACATAACTTTGTTTAATGAAACGGTTTGAGCTACACCATATTCTTCGCAACACTATCATAAGCATAGAAATAATTTTTGAAATTACTGGAAAACATGAATAGTGAGTCGTCTTTCACTACGAAGCTGGAAGAATTGCATAGGTTGGCGCACAGTTGCCACTTTACTAGTATCTTGCTGTTCGAAGAGAGTTTTCTTTTCTTAGAGTTTCGAAACCATCCTAGACTTTTCCCAGGTGGTCACCACTAACCTACTAATGACTATGTTGTTTCCAAACGACATTGTCTCCTGTTATTAGTTTACCGCTAGCTGTGCTTCTACATGTAGATTTTGTTTTTACTCAAGTGAAAAACGAGTCGCATACCATAGTGTACATATCTGCTCGGTATTCAAAATCAAGATAATCCTCAACCACGGTGAGGCGGTAAATGATCGAGGATGTCCTACACTGTAGAGTGCAAAAATAGCGGTGAAAACTTTATCCGTATGGGTGCAGTCAAGCGTAGATAACTGGCAACAAAGTCTTTTAACCATTTAGTAGCAAAAATGAACTTCATATCTATTCCAGGGTTTTGTTATGGCTGAACTCGTCGATCTCTTAAAAGATGTTGGATTCTTTCTACACACCGAAAAGGCTAAATCGGTTCAAGTCTCCCACGTGGAAAAGGCGATAGATAAAAGAAACGATAGTTTCTCCGATGCTATTGGTGCACCGAAGGTTAGTAGTTAATTTTTATTCAGCGGCTAAGTGTTTTGAGAATTTGTTTGAGCAACCATGATTTTCAACCATTTTCAAGCAGTTTTTTATAGTTATCGGAGGCATTTTTACTGTGTACTACCGAATCACTGTCATTTGCTTAAGATTCCCTCAGTGTCGTGGGATGAAGTGGGCGGTTTGGAGGAGACAAAACGAGTCGTGATTGAGAGCATAGAAGTAAATCTACGAGGTGGTAAATTGCGCAGATCAGGCATTATCTTTTTCGGACCACCAGGTTGCGGGAAGACACTACTCGCTAAGGGTTGGTGGATTTCACTTAAACTGTTAGTAGAATATTCGTTAATGAGTCAAGCAATAATTAGTCGCAGTAATAAGAAAGTTTACCTAAAGTTGTAGTAGTTTTAATATATCTAATGTAATGCTGTTAATTACCAAGTGGCTCTAGCGGACACAAGTCTTCATTCCTCTTATGCATTGGAACGTCCCGCATGGCTCCCACTAACTTTAAGGACACGAGGAATCTCGCATTGTTTGTGCGGGAATCTCGTACTTATACTGTTTCTGGTGTAATGCCAGTGCTAACTAATTGGTAGCCGTACTATAAGTGAGTGGAGAGATTCTTCTTAGAATAGATAGAACTCGCTGTAGTTAATAGTTTGACACTCAGAAATATCACCAAACCACAACATAATCCGGCAAATTTTTCTTATTTTATTGGTGTTTATTTTATCATGGTGCATGTTTTTATTTGTAAACAGTTTCTTTCTAGCTGTTGCGACCGAATTTAAAGTGGCATTCCTGAACGTTAAAGGACCTGAACTGCTGAATAAATACATTGGTCAGAGCGAAGAGAATTTACGTAAAGGTAATTAAAGCTTTAGAAAAATAAATTTAGAATGTTTACTTCTTATGTTCTGCCTTCTATTATTTTCATGGCAGGGTATTAAGCGAAATGCAACCACAAGATTGCTGAGGTATTTGCAAAACTCCGGACCGCAGATGTCTGCGGTGGGGAACGAACGCGCTATTGCCCTTTCCGGGGAGTAAGGCGTTCACCACACCATGAAAAAATTTAAATTTAGACTTTTATATTTAGAGATTTAATATTGAGCAATGGCGTTAGGATTTTGATTTGATTCTGATCTCTACATTATGTGATAGCGCTGCTACTAAGGCAAGCTCTTTTCAGCTGTGCTATGAACCAAGGCTGGAACTAAAAGTTTTTTCTACATGCACTTTGCAATGCCCAACTGATAGCAAAAAATTAAGTTATCATATATTTTTGTCGTGTCGTGTGCGGCGCAGTGGTCGGAGGCGCCCTGCAGAACACACGTGGAATCGATCCCAGCGCTTATGGCCAACTAAACCTTCCATCCCTCCGGGGTCCAAAAATTGGTAGCAGGCTTTCCTTGAAGGATGGCAGCACTGGTTCGATATATCGGCAGGCCACCGCGAGTCATTGTAAAGGCCAGAGATGCATTCAATCACCTCCAAACGATGCTTAGTGAAGTCGAATGCATGGCGCATCTCTCGGGAATTGATCAACGCCAAAAGCTTTGTCCTTTTTCTTTTTAATATTTTTGTTTAATCTGCAATGTTCTAGTTTTTTTAATTTATGAGGAACGGTAAAACAAGAGGAAATTTTACACTATTCACCATTTCTTCGATATATTCCTTTATGATTTAGACTTATTTGAAATCTTTCGCGTTGATGAACATGGATTAGCTTTGACTACCGTGGACCAAGTGGGTAATGTAGTGCTTTACTTTCGCATGCTGCTCTATTACTATTTCAGAAGGCCTTAAAAGGCTTTAAAAAGTTAATGTATAGCCTAATGCACATTCCCTACTTTAATGTTTTGTAAATGGGTTACGACGCTTTTGTTTTTCATCCTGCTGTTTTTCAGTTTGCAACTTTTCACTTTGAGCTTGGAATTTCTCCAACTCAGTAATACATTGTTCTCAGTGAACATCAGGGATTGTTTAGTATTCGAAAGAGGTCGACAAGCATCACCTTGTGTAATATTTTTTGACGAGTTGGATTCGCTTGCACCAAACAGAGGACGTCATGGTGACTCCGGGGGTGTCATGGACAGGTATTGCCTCTTTCAGAGATTTGGAATGTCTTCGAAAGGACAGTTTCAAAAAATGGTATAATATTTGATAATTTGCAAGGGTGTTTGTGAACGTCGGATAAATCACATTATAGTAGATTAGCAAAGTGTTGTGACTAAGTATTAAATTTATCAACTGTATAACGTGATAACGGTCTGTCAAGAATTTTTTGACTCAGTAGCGTCACAGGAATTGCTGCCATCCTGGAGAAGAGATCTATTGATAAAAAGGAAGATCTCTATATGTTTCACACAGTCAACTGTGGTGACTGCCCATGGTGAGAGCCCAGAAGTCCCTAGCGCAGTTGCTCTAGATATTGTAGGATGAATTATGTTACGCCAACCATTTTGAACCAGAAGATATTACCAAAACTGAAAGATAAACAGCAGATCAAAGGAGATACGGTTGCCCTTCAAGAAACAAAGAACAAGGTTAGTACCTGGTAAATGAAAAGTGAAACCGTTAATTTTCGATTATATGATTCCATCGTTTAATTTTCGTGGAGTTAGTTGCTCCGTGCAAATGTTCGTTGCTTACCTCGTCGACTCCCATGAAATTTTCCCCACTATTTAGTTTTGCTAACCACTGTAGTTCCTCATCGGAAAAAAGTTTGTGTCATCAATGTTGGCAGTTGGTGGCTTGGAATGCTAGACTTTATATAAGAATCTGGAAGATGCTTCTCAAAACAAGAAATCCATCTGAAAATTTCAGTGCTAGGATAGGAATAGTACAAAAATGGGAACGCAGGATTTTCGGTCAGGACATGACAGTGGAAATAAAGATCTTCTTCTGGCAGCTCGTTTCTTGCGTAGAATTTTTCTACCAAATATAGGAATCTTCAAAAGGTAGACTTCATGCAGAAATGGGTCAAACCCTTGTTTTAACAAAAGACAGAGTCTGTTCTATTTTGTCCCATGATTTTTTTGCAAAGCATCCTACCACAACCTTCTTCATGCGTAAATTCCCCTTAATCTAAAATGGAAGAGGAGCAATTTCGATCTACAGAGAGTTTATTTTCAGTGGTATCCTGTCCGTCCATAATTCGCAAAGGCTTTTAGACGAGCGAGAGACTCTGAGATGTTGCAAGCATAAAATAGGTCTTAATGTCATTTTCATGGTGGATCTTTATCAGTATTGCAAGGCAGCGATACTAGCAAAAATGCACCACAAAAAAGAAGAAAAGAACTATCTGCTTTCTGCTGTGCTCGATTATGGAGGACGACTGAGACAACCGCTGTTCTGTCCTGTTCGTTGATGAAAATGCTAACGCGTCCTTTTTTAAAGGACTTATTCGCTGCAGTTATCATTGTGCAACTGTGGCATAACTTCTTCGTGGACCTTTCAGTATCCAAATTGGTAAAAGTGTGCAGAAGGGTCGCACATTATTGCCATACCAGTTCATCATTACACAAGTGGTGTATAAAATCACTTGACTCCTCGAACCTCTGTTTTGCATGAAACATCTTCATGTCGCAGTGGAATTGTTTACCAAGTTCAATGAAACAAGGAAAAGTAGGTCAGCGAATCAATTTGAGAAATACCAAATTCATGAGTAAACACTGGAAACACTGGCGCGAAGGAGCGACAGATTATTCTGAACTAAATGGGTTAATGGTTAAGGGGACCATGCCTCATGTATTGCTGAGAGGTTCGACAAATATGGATAACGACTTGAGAAAGGAACTCAGTCTAGTAAAAGGAGGCGGTAACTAGTTTCCTAATTCTAAGTTGTGTGATCACTAATTGCACACAAGACTTTCTTTGAAAAGTTTCGTTAAATGCAGAAAGCGCCAAGTTATGCCCTTCGAAGGTTATGTGTATGAGAAGAAGTTTACAGGAGGTTTTAGAAAAATGAATGCGATCTTTAAGGGCACGTCCGAAAACATGAGCAGACATGTTTATTTTACACCCAAGCCAACAATGTTAACAGTTGAATCAACCTTTAGACGTTCGAGGCACGGTGACGTCCGCACGTGATGGCTCCCACCTCCACAGATGAAGGCCGAGATGAGGAAATTAAACAGTAGCTAATATCCGCGCGAACATGCGAAGATGTGCCCTTTAAGTAATCTATGCGAACTATCTACTTATCGAGGTATTTTGATGAGTCGACAGTTATAGACATTTCTATATTTGACGATGGATGTTTGCTGATGGGACCGTTAGGCTAAAAAATGGCTGAGAGAAAGGCAATTCAAGAGCCTCAGTGCTGCAGTGGGTAACACCTAAGCTCCCGGAAATTATAATCGTGGATTCGACTTCGGCCTGGAGTCCAAGTTTTGCAGATATATCAGCATAGCTCTGGTTGTATTTCATATATTACCCTACTTTAAAAAAATAATGGGCAGTTGATAAAAAGCTGGTACTATTGCCATATTCGAGCAAATGGATCTACCTTTTTGCGGTGATGTTATGAAACTATCGAAACTACGTGGTCCATCATCGGGTGATTGGTATGAGTTGAAGTCGAACCAAAAATCGATCTTAACCATGCTCTGAGAGGGAGAGAAATTTGCTGAAAAGGTTTTCCTATCTGTACTGCACTGTCTTTACCTACATCTTCCTTACACATTTAAACATGTGCATGCATGGTTATGCTTCTAGGTATGAGAACGATATCCTGCATATTAATTTTGTACAACTGATTGTATAAGAAGTGTAAAGGGTTCACGACTGCTTTCAAAAAGTAATTTCAAGCACAGCACTAGCTTGAGTCGGCCACAAATAGAAGTTTGTTAGACCCTACTCGAGTCACTCAGTGATTAGAGGGGTTGCAGAAAATTTACTCAAATACTTAATTGAATGCTTAGGTTACCGTTTTTACGAATCACAAATAATCGCGCAGGTCTTAGCACAATTTCCATTTTGCTCGTGATTTGTTGGTTGGGCTAGATCATACATGCCTCGAGTCTTGAAAGCCGCGCTTGGGTTTTTCTGGTTTTCACCATGACTAGTGGTAATATTGTGCACAGGATGGCAACGTTTTCAAGCACCACTTTATTACTACCTGAATTTCTGAATGAAGATGTCGAAGTTCTCACCTGGTGGGTGGCTGTGCGATGAATCCCCGCCTTGTGTCGCTGTTTAGAAATAATGTTCGGGAAGACACGCCAACTCTAATCAAGTAGTAGACCATTGGGAAATGATACAAATAATTCTAATTTATTCCGATATGTGAATACTAGGCGAAATTAGGAGATAACTATCTTCAGTAATTTGTAACTATAACGATTATCTTCACAATGTAGTGAAATTCTGTCATCGAGCACTCTGGAAGAAGAAAGAGGGCTTCGCTGCGAGCTATATGACTAACCTCTGAGACTCACCGAATGCATACCTGTTGCTATTGTACGAATAATCTTTTTGCATATTCAATGCAGTATCATTTCACTGGAAGGAATTTTACTATTGTTTAATCTTCTTTCCGTTAGGATTGTGTCGCAGCTGTTAGCTGAGCTGGATAGCTTGCATCAGAGTCCCCACATAAAGGTGTTTGTCATGGCGGCGACAAATCGTGCCGATCTCCTAGATCCAGCACTTCTTACTCCTGGAAGGTTAGTTGTTCTTTATGATTTATTTCTTAAATTTGATCTTCTTCAACTAATCTTCTAACTTTTCTATTTTATTTTATCTGATTTTTAAGCCTATTCTACTTATCGATTGTTTCATTTTATTTGTTTTATTGCTATATTTTCGACATGAATGTTTATAACTGTGAGAATTCTATAGGTTTAAGAGGTTTTAGAAGCACTGATATCAGCATATCACCATACAGGGGCGGACAAAACAGTGGTAGTGAGGCCGTTCATCACGAGCAGATGCTAATTCGACTCAGATTCAGACCCACTAGGCCTCTGATTACTCTGGGGTTGAGGAATTGGTGTGATGATTGTCTGGACACAACTTGCTCCTTCTAATCTACTCAGGAACACTGTGACACAGTTATCGCAGACCTTGAGGGAGAATCGCCTCGACCTTGAAAGACGTTCATGAAGAAGACAATTCTCTTCTCATTCTCCGCTTGGAAACGGAAGTGGTTGATCGAGTGCGCTTTTCCTACTACAATATTTGGCCGACCTTACCGTTCATTTCAGTTGCATTTTTGGGAGTGCTGAAATAAATTCGTGTTCTATTTTTCCTTGCAAATTCTCTAGATCTAAGGGCGACGTTTAATTCTCGTTGTATTCCAGAGTTTTGTTTTTGTTTTAGGTTTGACAAAGTGATTCATGTTGAACCGGGAACCGATGTTGAATCAAAGACAAAAATTTTGCGAGCAGTTAGCAAAAAGGTTCTTTTTGCCGAAGATGTTAACCTAGAGGAAGTGGTGAGGTTTTACTAACATTGGTGCAATACATAGTCTAACCATTATCGAAAGTAGCGACGCTTATACGAGTCGATTCTCCATAGCCGGTGATTGTCGCGTCGTGGGTGTCTATCTTCGCATTGTGTTGAATTCGGTGATGCCGATTCGAGAATCCTAGTGAAGAAAGATAAACGAACGGCTGTTTGTAATTAGCACCTAATTTGCTTGTTGACTTCACTATTTAAGCTCTTATTAAAGTTTTAGGATGAGGCCCAACCAGTTGAACAAAAAGGATCCCGACAGGGATTTTGCTAGGTGTATTAGATGGAACCCGTATTCATGTCATAATAGTTTGTCGAGAATACTGAGCATCGCACGTCCTGTCCTCCGTGGGCTATGAAAAAGCGTTTGATAGAATTGAAACTAATGCAATCCTATCAGCTCTCGTCGTCGATCAAGGATTAGGCTGGTCTTGAATAATAACATTAGCTCATTATCATCATGGCCATACTACAAAAATACGTCTTTCCCATTATTCTCTAACCATCCCCACAAGGGACATGATTCAACAAGAAGACACTATCTCGCCCGAACTGTTTACAGCCGCACTGTATTGGTTGCATCTTCATTCAAGGAAATATTGATTTCTTTAAAGAAAGTCGGTTTTTAAGATATTGCTACGCTACGTGGCAGCTAATGAGATACTGACTTTTTTGCCACAATGAAACCAGATCAGTAGTTCGTATTGGATGACGGCAGTAGATCAACATTCATTCTGTAGAAAAGCGCACGGCAGAGTGATGCTCTTCATTCGAGCAATGCTACACTCCAGTTGGTTCCCACGGTACGACAATGACCGCCTGTGGACGATCGACACGTATGAACGAGGTCCCTATGAAGACTAGGAACTCGAAAAGTTAACCGAGTAAATATTTTTATGCCAGTGTCGTTCCAGCTCAGTAATCCAGAAGAGCAGTGATTATTTTTCCGTAGGTTTGATTAAAGTCGATTCTTCTTTCTTTCTTTCTTTTTGGTTCTAGGTTTTAAAGTATTTGAATTTAAAATAGCAATATTATTACATGCTTAAATACAGTGTTTCTCTTCATGGAAATTGTAGGGAAATGTTTCATAGAAACAACAAAGGTAACAGGCACCGCTATCACTTATTCGTATGCTTGGATGTCTCATGTTAACGAGTAACACACTTGTGAAAGGCAACACACTTTCCGTCTTTAGTCCTCTCGCGTTTCTCATGGTGGTGTTCTGCTTCGTTTCAATGGTGTGAAACGCTTCTCGTAGGCGATAAAGATTAGGATGAGGGATAGATGGTGTCCCGTTAGAGTTCGATGTGATACAGTTTGGATGTGGGCCATGCAGGAGAAGTTTTGTCGGAATCCTACTAGCTCAGCTAGTTGTGCCTCATCGAAGGTTTTTGAAATGCGCAAAAGGTTGATTTTCGTGAACAGATTTTAGAATACACTCAACAAGCATATTGAACAGTAGTTATGAAGATCCCTTCGCCCACGCTTCATGAAAATGATGACCGTGCGTGGCGTTCTGTACTGGTCTGAGATTTTCTCTTTTTGAAGGTAAAATGTCATGTGGGTCGCAAGGAGTGCATATAATCTGTGGCCACTAGTTCTAGGGAAAAAAAAGGAAAAAATTGTATTATTGGGTTCAGAAGATCTGCCTCTGTTCACGTCTTTTACCTTTGTCTAACTTCAGAAGGTAGAAGCTCGATCGGTTTCTTACCAGTAAGGATTTGGCGTTCCGAGATGGTGATTGTAGAACGATAAAAGATTGGCAATGAACTTTTCCGCTATGAATTCCACATAATGACAGTATTTAGTTATTGTTCCTTCTTCGTTGGTCAAGGCGGAAAGCGGAATCTTATAGTCGTAAAGATCCCAACTGCACTTGTTCAGCCTTGATCGCTTCTGAACTGCTTCTAACTTTTACTCCCTATACCGATGTGAATCCTACTGTAAAAATTCTCTGCGACTGACATTTATTATCAATCATGTTAGGTGTGCTGTAGTAGTCCTTCTCTTTTAAAGCAACTGCTTAGTGGTAGCGAAAATTCGGTGTGAACTTCTTCCTTGAGAAACTGACGTGATTTTGGCTCAAGTTTTAAGTCCACCGACAATTAACATCCAGTCTTCTGTCATGTCTTCATTTACCTGCCAGTCATATGAGGGAAAGATTTTATTGAGAATAATCGTCATAACGAGTTTTTTAGTTTTCCTTGGACGATGGCAAGAGTTCTTTTCCAGTGTATAACTGAATCGAGTTTTCATCGGGAGAAGGCGGTGATCAGATCTAGTACAGAATCTTGGTCCCACTGAAGTGTCAAAAGAAGCACCATCTTCTGTTTGTGAGAACATGATCGATATCAGCATAAGTCGTGCCGTTGGGAGACTCCCGTGTCCACTGGACTTTTTTTTCTTCTTAAAAAAGGATCTCTATAAAAGAGAGGTGCTGCGGGAAGGAATCCTACAAGAAGGTTTCCAATCTCATTTTGATCTCCAATTCCAAATTATCTTTTCCTGTATTCATTTTCTTTCGCCGTTCGCAATCTAGGTGTGAAGTCACCAACAACGAACTTATAGAAAGACTGCTCGTTGTGGAATAATTCCTCTAACTGATTGTAGTAGAACGTGTCTACCTTCATTAACTGTACAAGTTGGTGAGTAACCGTTGATGATAGAAACTTTTTTTGACTCGGAAATTGTAGGCGGAAAATGTATCACTGGTAGGATGTCGTATGAGGTGATTAGATGGGATATAAATTGGTGTGCGACAAAGCCAACCGTCCTTATATTTCGTAAAGAAAATTTTTACCTGCACGAATTACAAGAGTTCTAGCGTCTAATTGGTGTATACTGGTCTTGCTGATTTTCGTTTCTTGCGGGGTGATCATATGGAATTCGATGCGATCATTGGTCTTAAGAAGAGAAAATACGTTGGCGTCTGAAAAGAGTTTTGTGGTGTTATCGCTGCAGAGCAAGAAACACGTCTTATGCAATCCGAAATTTGCTGACCTCTCGCCGGCTCTCTCATCGCCCGACTTCGTAGACCAAAGCGCCCAGTTTGCGTGGTAATGAAGCCCGAGATTTGCTAGTTTACCAATTTTGGTTTTCTGGAGCCCCCAGCTCTGCCTCGTTGAAGCCTTTCTCGGCTTTTCACCATTCCAGGCAGCCGCTGATGTTGTGGATTAGAGGGAGATTTGCCACCATGTGACCGGCAAGATACCAGGCGGGTGGTGATTACTGTTGTTGTTTTACTCTTAGCTGTGCTTCTGGATAGAAATGTCGCACTCCTTCTCAGCTTGGGAGACCTTGCTTTACGGATAAATCTCCCGCTGTATATAGCAGCCTTACACCAAGGAACACCTCCCAGTGAGGCAGCATAACGTTAGGAAGCCTCAGTATTGTGTAAGATTATATTGCAAAAGGCATATAGCCAAATTTAGTGCTTCAAATTAAGGCAGCTCAATGCGATCAAGTAATGTCAGGAGCTGAATTGCATTCAATCGTTTCTCTAGCTGTTATGGAGTCAATTCGTGAACAGGTGCGCAATTCATCTAAAGTATATAGCTATACATATTATTCTCGAATCATAAACTGTGTGTTTTTCATCATGAAGACATATATTGTTTATTTACCAACTTCGTGTTAACTTATCAATGAAGGAATACATGTTGATTAGTCTTACAGCGGTTAAATGAAAGTCGGTTTTTGAAACGTTTATTGTATCTTTATAAAGATTTAACCTTTGGCTCGCTTTTAAACCAAAAAAGGAGTTTCTCTCAGTTTCCAATAATTTTGAGTATCCTTGAAGATTTCTTATCAAATATTTCATGTATGTAAGTTTTATTATAGATTCAACTAATTGAGGCGGGTAAGATATCCCCATCCGAAGTGAAAGGTATAGTTTCCCGTCAACATCTTCAAAACGCCATTACGATGCGGAAGAAGCAAGTGAAATCAATACGTCAACAAAAATGGAGTTAAAATTTTTGGGAGGCAGCAATTAATATTTGATGTTTGACTGAAAAAAAGCGCTAAGGGGCTTTTCAGTTTTGCTTTGAAGAGTTTGATTGTTTATTGCTTTTCATATTGAACCACTACACTCTTACATTATGTTAATTCTGTCATTTCGAATAAAGTGAATACATGAATATATTTTGAATATAACACAATGCGTAGTAATCGTCTAAATTATTATCTTATCCTATCTGTGAGTTTCAACATAGTTATGTTTAAGTGTGCTGTTTTAAGAATATGTTCGACATTTTATTACATTTTGCTGATTAACATGACCAATCCAATTAGTAGTTTCGGTTAGCGGAGTGGTAGTGGTACCGTTCATCACGAGCACGGTACTGGCTCGAGCCGTTCCGCGGTAGCCAGATCTGACATCCCTCGTTGGTCAAGAAATTGATACTAGACAGCTGGATACTTGCAATCCAAGTGGAAACCTGTATACCCGGCTATCCTAGGACTCCAATAAGGATCCACTCGACCGGGCTTCAATGATATTCATAAAGAAAACAATTGTCAGGTAGCAGCCGAACCCACACGTGAAATGTTCGAAAACCTTAAGGGACGATAGATGCAGGGATATGAGTCGAATGCAAGAAGCGTCAGGATCCGAGTAGTAGGTTGAAGCGGGTGGTGTAAGTTATAACAATAACAACAATAAAATCAATAGTATGCGAGATATTTTCAGCCACAGGCCTTTCATACAAGAATGCATTGTCGTCAAAAGGTTGATACATAGTCTAAGCAAAGAAATTTGAGTTTGTGACTTAAAGGTCTGGCTGTGGTAGGCTGTGGTACACTTCTTAACGGTGTTGAGATGAGTACATCAGCATCATCGAGTTTTCCCACTCAACGAATCGTGACTGGGTTGAGCGAATTGGCGATGAAATAAGATATCACACCAGATGAATAAAACAACGAAAATCTAGGTAATCTGACGAGACGCTGATTTCAGAAATTTAATTTTAATTTTTCAAATAATTTTCAAGCACTAACGGATGGGGACAGGAGGACAAATGATTGATAGATATGGCAAATATGATAATTGTGGTTGAATATCGCCTGTGAAAAGGAAAACTAATCGGCTACAGCTGGGAAAGAGGGAGGGAAAGAGAGAGGGAAATGAGTGGACAATTTCAAGACTCCCACAAACTAGTGCGGGTTTAGATGTCCAATGTAGTTATTCATAACTTAACGATCGAAGTGGATGAAGTCATGAGTTTTAAAGTGGCCGGCTTGGCTATTGATAACCAAGCCAGGATTTATCACTTACAAATAAGACAGCTGTAAACTTGCGACCAGGAAATTATATATGTTGGTCTGAAGTTGCTATCGAACGCATCAACAATACACAAGCCATCTCCTTAGTCTCTGAGACACTGTAGTACTTGTAACTCTAGCTTTCCATTCATTCGCGGACACCAGTGAAGTCGTTGCTAGGTCTAGTCACATAGCAGAGCTGTTCTGTCGCGTTAATCTCGTGATACCTATAGCATCACACCTGAAAATATGACATCCTTATTTTCACTGCTTTCGAAGATTTCGTAATTACTTATTCATAGTCCAGTTCTTTCTGTGATATAAATTTGTCCAATCTTAGCTTCTAACATATGGGCTATAGTGATCACTCTTGTGATACCTAGAGTTTCAGAGCTTTTGTGTGATTTTATTCCTAATATTTTTACAGAGAATGTAAGCCCTGGTAGATCACAGGGCTCTTCTGGACGCAGATTTGCTCTTTATTGAAGTCAAAACGCTTCAATTTAGATGAGATTTTGTAAGGAAGCATCAGCAGTACATACCAGTTCAACGCACTAACTCACCTTCAGCTACTGTGAGGCGCGAAACGCCTTACACCATCATAAGTTCTAAGCTGCGGTTATTAGTCAGTACTGATCTAAAGAATTTTGTCAAGTTAACCTAACTTGGTTTCTTCGTCTATGTAGTTGATAGTCGATGAGGAGGTAACAATGTTCTTTTTTAACTTATTATTTACTGCCTATTCTTTTTAACGACAAGGTATACATTGTGAAATATGACTTCAATGATGCTGAGATATTTGCAAAACTCCGGACCGCAAGTGTATGCGGTGGGGAACGAACGCGCTATTGTCCTTTCCGGAGAGTAGCGCAATAGAACTACCTGAGCGACAGGTGAAACGAAGGACCGGTGTGGTGTGGTGGTAAACGCGCTACTCTCCGGAGAGGACAATAGCGCGTTCGTTCCCCATCGCATACACCTGCGGTCCGGGGTTTTGCAAATATCTCAGCATCATTGAAGTTATATTTCACAATGTCCTTTTTGTTATTTGCCGACTGTTAGTGAACCTTGAAGCATGAAGATTTTAGTCCGATTTATGGTCGGGCATGGTGATTTTAATACGTCCAACAAACAGATGGTAATAGGGTGAAACGTCGACTTGTGAGCTTTTCATAAGCTTCCTCATATATCAGGACTGGCACTATTCCAACGTGCCAAGTCCAAGATTGTTTCCATTTCTTTAGTACTAACGTACGATCCTACAAAGGCAGACTATAAAACGATAAAGGATAAAACTTTTAGTGTAGGTAAATTCCTAATGTATGTCTACGCAAAACACTTGATTAATCATCTTATATAAAGGATGCGTGTAGCGCAGTGGCTAGAGGTGCCTTGCAATAACCAATAATAAACCTAACGCGCTAAAAAACACGAAACAAGCGTTTTCCGAGCGATTCTCTCGAATAACGTCTAACGTGCCCAAAACCTAAATATAAGCGTTTTCCGAGTAAAGCAAAAGCACTAGAATAAAGTTTACTGAAGCAACAGAACAAATTTTGCTCGCCATAACTGCGCTTTATCCCACTAATATCCGAAATGACGTGAATTTTAGTTACACCACCAGTCTTTCAGTAGACAATCATTGAAAGATGCAGCACACTTCGCGTAGAAGATCTCCATGATTAACTAGCGGGTTAATAAAAAAGGATAAGCTGTCGTTAATCAATCCTTGAGGGACGCCCTATGCACTTGACTTCATTAAGCATGGTTTGTAGGTGATTGAATGCATTTCTGGCCTTTACAACGACTCGCAGTGGCCTATCTATGTATCGAACCAGTGCTGCTATCCTCGCAGACAAGTCTGGTACCAATTTGCCGACTCCAGAAGGATGGAAGGCTCAGTGGGCCATGGGTGCGAGGATCGATTCCACGTGTGTGCTACAGGGTTCTGGGTGCCTCAGACAACTGCGCGGCACGTGTCCCTGACTAATGAATTGGAGATTGAAAATTTCAATATGCAACATACTGCGTAACAGAGATTTCGCCAAAGTTTTAGTCAGGTTGTTGATAAATTATTATGAGGCAGTCTTCTAGATGAGTATTCCATATCCTAGTTTAAGATGTCAATTTATAAAGGCACGATATGGGGCACTCTACACCATTTGGTTCCCCTAGAAAACTGACTTTTGAAATTATCTCAACAAAAATTGGCAAATTTATGCCATTTAATGATAACGCGCCAACTAGTCATAATTCTACGTGGCGCGTTATAGTGGGGAAAAGGTTGGCGATTGAAGACAACTTCCTACCCCAAAAAGTCAAGCATTGATTTAGGCGTTAAGCTGCTTATGTACAAATAAACAGTGTTTCCAAATCTACGATAAATTTTCTGACAATATCACATAACGTTAACTTTTTATCCGTATCTGTTACAATCTTTCACGGCAGGGTATTATGTGCGATACAACCACAATGTAGAGTACCTGCTCGCAATGAAAGTATTTGCCAAGACTGTTATGCAACACGCAATAATCATCAGAGAATCTATGTCAACATTAATGGAAAAGCAAGAGCTGCCTATGTGGGTCGAAGGAACTGTGAATGAAAGGATCATGTAGCAGAGCAAATAATGAAGAGGAAGGGGCAACGGCGAGCTTCAAGGCGTCGTCAGAAGCCAAATGACGGTGCTAGTGGGCGTGGCTACGACCAAGTGAGTAGAGTTGGTCGCTGAGTCGAGGCTCGGGTAGCGGGGTCTAGTCTCCAAACAGTGAGGAGTGCCCAAAATGCGTGGTAATGTACCTGATGGCTACGAATTCTCTATACAAAGTGCATTGATCACTATTTAATCTGATTAAAGTTTCAGATGAACCTTTGAAAATGGTCAGTAGAAAGCGTCTACAGTGGTAACAAATGTGTCTCATGGGGACCATTTCTTTACTTGACTTCTAGACATAATTACGTACATTGAAGCAAAAGAAAAAACTGGGTCCGAAGTACTTCTTTACGTTGGATCCATGAAAATAGTAAAAAGTAGTGTTTTCCCAAGGTAAAATAAACAAGAAAAGATGATTACACTTTTAATGTATTAAGAACAAGATTCTCCGACACGTAGATGTTTCCTCCCATTTTCGTACTTCAGAGCTTTGCCTAGGTGACGTCTACTTTTTCAGCGCTGAACCACTTAACTATCTTCGAGATCTTCGAAACTTCAATACTCGGTTTATAGCTGAAAAATAAAGTTGGTTATCGAAATTCTCAGCGCGATATTTTACGATATTAGTGTGTTTGTACTTGCACTTGATCTTTAACCTGATTCTTATTATTTCATGGTGAATTTATTTTCAAGTTCCTGCATAGCAATCGTGTGGAACAAATTACTCATGGGCTTAGATATCCCGTCCTAAGACGTAGTTTGGCACTACACCGTCTTTTGTTTTGCATTCACACGGGTGCTTAAATGCGACTGTAAATTTGAACGCTTTTTGAGCATGTTTTCGTGCCACCCTCAGACACATTCCAAATAGTGGTCCAGATTGATTTACCTAGGAAACCTGGCTCAAGTGAAGCGTTTCTGGCTCTTCTCTACATGCAGTTGCAGGCCGTTGGAATCAGACGAAAGTTTGGTGACTTGCGACTAAAATGATTCCGACACGGCAGACTTCTCTTCGACTTTGCAAGCATTAGTAGGTATGTGAAAGAGATAATTCACAAACCAGAACACCCATTTGTGCTTATTTATATGACTCAACTTCTCACGTTATGCTGATTTTAGTACTTCTATCACTTGGTTCGCCGCCATGCATCCATTATAAACGAAACTCACCTAATTCTACTCGTGAATTAGGATATCAATTCAAGACCTTGCCTTCTTCATAAATGGTTCGTTGAATGACAATCGAGTTGATTTTCTCACGATTTTGGAATGTTCTGTTTGAATGTTTGTAACTTCTTATCATAAGCACCTGCCTTTGTGGATTTTAGGGAGCCATTCTCAAGTCAGATACCAGTTTGCTGAGGCCAAATGTGTGGGAGAGATGGTTATCTTCGAGATGGTTTGAACCAGTGACCATGTGCTGTCATTGAGCGGTGCCTGTGCCCACTGTACTACCTACCATCCATTGTACAATTTTAAAAAAGTTGGTAGTCCAACCCATCTGTTAAAAAAATGGATGCTTAACTTGTATTTTTGTAGTGAGAATCAAGGAAAAATTATTAAAGCAGATAATGCTTCACATTTCAGACGTGTGATGATGAAGAGATGTAAGCCCTTATTGACTGCTTCATACACGATAGAAGCCGAACCCCATCAGGTGAAGTAGTCTAACACAATAAATTTTTTCACTGCTTAAAAAAATAACACACGCTTCTTCAAGATCGGCGAAGGATGATCGTTTAGCTGGATCGTTTTCAAAACACATAGTCATAATGGCGCGATCCTCTGATGGCATGTCGGACGACGGTTGCAAACGAAGACCTCCGAGGACTTCGTTCCGTAATATTCCTAGCTTCTATAATTGAGTAACAGTGCATTTCACTTCTCGTTAAGTCATGTAGAGAAATGATTTCTGTTTTTTAAGCTGTCAGATGCGGTAATTGCATTGAATTCTGTTACTGATTTTACTAAAATGTACAGTTTTATTTGGAACTCTGATCGGAAATACGTTGTCTTACCTTCACATGTTCATATGGCACTTTACCATTCGAGAATACTTCAAACATTAGAACACCATAACTCCATACATCTGATTTATTCGAATAGGTACCAGTTCTCAGTGTTTCCGGTGCTAGCCATCTGTTACGTTAACGTTGATACTCGTCTCTGACCATATTGTCTGATTATAATGTAAATTTGTAAGTGTAGAGATACTGCATGCGTCTTAGAAAGCTTCCTCAACTAATTGTCTGTTTGCCTGAGTGTTAGCACGATTTTCGTTTTCGTGCATGTGTACCTTTGTTCATGCTTTTTTGTCTACTTCTTTATCTTATTGTCTATTTAATTGTCAGCTAGTTTTTCTTTCCGTTCTTTTCACGTTTCTTAGTGTAATACCGGTTACTACTGTCCTTGTTTGTTATCGCTTTCAAGATTCTCGTGATATTTAGAAAAAAATGCTCCTATTTTGTCCAAAATGCCTAATCCTATTTAATATTTGTGAAATAAGCTGCACATGAAGTAAAGTGTGATATACAACCGCAAGGATGCTGATATATGAGCAAAACTCGGAAACTCTGCCGGTCTTCGAACCCGTGATTGCTCTTATGGAGTCTAGCATGCTATTCATCACACCAACCAAGGCCCTATCTTCGTTTTTTTCAGCCATGTTAGCTCCTGATAGGGCCGATAGAGTACCTTGTGGTTGTTCTTCACATAGTACGCGGCCATGAAAAGAAGAATAGGCAGTACATAAACACATGAAGTCCAACTTCAGCTTAAATGGATCCAATGTCAATTTGTGCTTTCCAGATCCGCCGTTGACGTATGATTGCTAATAGCACCGATAGAGCAAAAACATAGCTGAGATGGCTGAGAGAAAGGCAAAGCTAGGGCCTTGGTTGGTGTGGTGGGCAGCATGTGAGCTTCCGGTAAGGGTGGTCGCAGATTCGAAGCGCAGCTGAGGTTCCGAGTTTTCCTCATACGTCAGTATACTTGTGGTTGCATTTCACGTAACCAGGTAAAAGAAAAGAAGAGGCAGCACGTGAAAGTTAAAACACTATGATAAAATATGGCATCGGCAAGAGCTTTTAAGAAAATTTCTGAATAGGACCATCATATTATCTATGGTAGTGCAATCCTTTATAATGTTATTCATTACAGTCTTCGTATAGGTTCTCTTTATTCATTTGTGAGCTTCTTTTTTTCTTGAGTTACCACACAATTCATTGCATATTTGATAGTTTTGACGTTTTTTTTGTTCAAATATGTACACCATCGTCTCACAGACGTACACAGAAAGGCAGATGTCTCCCTATTTACCTTACTGGTACTTTCACCATATTCTTTTCTTTATGAAGTCGTCCTAACAATGACAAACCGAAGTCGCTGATTTTACAAGTATCCGTCGCATCAATCAGGCAATTCCTTGCCGCCAAATCGCGGTGCATCACCTGTGATAAGTATTATTTAGTGAATGGAAAATCTTATCGCGTCCAGTGCGAGAACCCAACCCTTATATTGCAAAATTTTTTTTCCTTCTGTCTACTTGTTAAGTTTAAAAGTAGGAAGTTTTCCAAACCTTTAGGTATCGAGTTTGATATGAACCATCATTAGGGATCCCTCAGAAGGAGTTACAATTTCACTACATTCTTTTTTGGTACGTGAAGACAATAAGTGGTAAGGTACTCACATTTAACCAATGGACTCCTAATGAATGAGCGACCACTATGTCGTAGGTCACTTACTGACATCCCTGCTACAGCGCTTGCTGCCTTTGCGCTTGAAATTAAGATATATCCCACCCAGAACGTTTTGCTCAAAAATTTTTAAAGCAATGAGTTCTGAAGGTAAGCTCAAATAAGGAATAACATTAAGAAAACTTAGAAGCTTCGCTCTAAAAAATGAAGTATTCTTGATTCCAAAAAGAGCATATGTAAAGCGAAGCATCGACTCGTTGATTGTTTCGTTAAGCAGAGCCACCGGCGTTGAATGAACAGCAAGGACATCTTGATGGTTGTGAGATGAAGATATACATTTAGGCGTTGGCCAATGTATGGTATTCAGTATATAGCTGGATACTAACGCCGGTTCAAGTTCGCATGAAGATCATTGTTGTACTTGCAAAGTGTCAACGTCAATTCAGAATCGACAAGAATAGTGAAGCTTGTACTAGAAGCTCCGCCCCATCACTCTTAAATACACCGTATTTATTACACCTATTAGATCCCATGTTTTCTAACACCCCTTTTTCGTCGCCACCTCATTATTTATGAAGGCTGAGCAGATATATTTCTAGAAAGAAATAATACTGCCTTCATAGGTTATTTGTGAACGAATTTTGACTTATGAATGCCTGGAAGGTATTCATGAAGGAATACTAATGTTTGTTGCTGAACAATAGGTTTCAAGATTCATAAAACCATGACTGTTTACATTTAGTGCACTAGTTTTTTGGAACTTTTAGATGCACTGCCCTTCAACTTCGTTTTACTCAATTTCGAGTACTTCCTTGGATACTTGGATGGTCCGCCATCACTGGCTGTGCGAACCGCTGCGTAATTTCCATTTTCCGGAGAATTGCTGGCTTAGCCGATGTGGTTCCCAAGAGTCCCGAGGAGAACCTGGTCAAGATCTGCACCAGGTCGTCACCACCACAGGCCATCGCCCCCCTTGTGGGTCAAAGGAGGGTTCGCCACAGCGCTACTATTTTGATATGAGGATGGTGGTAGATCCTGGTACTGGTTTACTCTTAGCTAGGCTTCCTAATGGAAACGCCAGACTCCTTCTCAGCTTGTGAGACCCTGCTGGGGATGGATCCCCTTGCTGCTCATCGCAGCCCGACACCCAAGAACAGCTTCCAGTCACGATGAGCCGGTAAACCGTTGGAAGGAATTTCAAATACTCAATGCAAATAATGACTGCAACAGTCCTATAGCATTTCACTGAAAGTTCCTGCTACTAGCTTAAGTTACCAAAAAATACGTCGGTTTTTTAACCAAATGCTTACTATGGATTTGTTAACCTACTTTTAAAATAAAAAAAGAATTTTGTCTCAACGAGATTTGCCAACCTGTTGTTTTTCTAGATATTTCATTCCACACACAACGTGAAAACAATACTTTCTTTTGGTACTCAAGCTGAGCGTTCCTTCTTTAGCCTTGTGAAGAAGGGTTCCACCTAGATAAAACGCATTAATTCAAATGTGATACTGGGTCTCTCTTCTTGGTTCACCACTTCATCATAGCAGGATGTTCTTCCTGGGTGCCAAAACGGTACCTAGAAGTGGAGGTTCCTTCAAGTTTTAGCGTTATTCACTTGAGAACCAGGTGGATAAAGCCATCTAAAGGTATTAATAGAAACGAAACCTGTATCACAGTCTAGCGAATCACTGCAATGATTTCGTTGTGAAAACATTGAAAAATAAGAGCAACTTCTAGATGTGATGCTATTGTGGTTTTTCGAATGAACGGCGCCTATTGAAGACCTGTAGAGGCTAAAGGAGACTTTACCAATAGTAGTTCGAAAACCTCGATGACAAGTAAGATCACGGGTGATCGAAGTGTTATCGCAGTCAAAAAACAAGTTGTTATCAGCTACGACGAATTCTCAGTATAGCATAAATTCTTTTGGTCCAATAATCCCAAAAGCTTGCAAGAACTAGGAAACGAACTTCTTCACCGTACTATACAGTTAATTACTGACACTGAAAGTTTTACACAGATTCGGAAAACCATCGTTTTCATTCACAGATTTCTATGGAAAAAAATGAGTTATTGCCTCACTTTTTTTTATACAACCACTTTAGGGAGGTGGTTACCTAAATAAGGAAGCGATATGTTTATCTCACTCTGTAGTTCCGTGCCACTCGGATGGCAGCGATTAGTAACAACATCAGGTTCAGAACTTGTATCATCCCTATAGATATTTTAACGACGAAGACATACAAAGCGAAAACGACTTGTTGTGGATGATCGATTGGAGCCACAACGGTTTTGAAGAAGGCGAATGTACCGGCCCATTACTCCTTTAGAAACTGAGGACGCTTTTTCTGTGAAATTATAGAGTTTTCTCCATGGTTTCATTCTCATGCAAAGGATATGTGATTTCACCACCGCTAAGATAATTCCTGTCAGCAACTAGAAGCATGAAATATAAGGCGAGAATGACTCTCGATTAGTCGTAAGCAGCAAATACATTTCCAACACATGGGGTCAACTATTGCCATCTGTGGTAATCAAGGAATGGGCTAGTAAAGGCTTCTCAAAGAAGTAAGCTTAGCCTATAACATACGAGCTGTGGGGGAAACATAATGAAACCTGTATGTTTCTTCATCATGAAAACAAACTATTCAGTTATTGCAGGAACAGACAATGAACTTCGTTTAAGCTGCACAATGTGAAGAAATCTGTGGAATATTCCAGAACTATTGAAGAATCATCACCTGCAGCAAGTTCCATGACTATCATTATTGGTTCTTTCTGTGTCGCTACCCCATAAAGTCGTACCACGTTTTTATGCTGAAGCTTCAGCATTACATTTGCTTCACGCAGGAATGTAACTCTGCAAGGACGCTGATGCATAACGTATATGTATATAAGTTATATAACATAATAAGAAAAACCGCTGAAAAGATAGATCTATTAATCCACTTCACACCAACTGGATTCTACAGCTTTGACTAATTGAGATGACTTGTTTTCGTAAGTTGGCGCAATATGTATTGAAACGGCAACAACTGTGTCTCGAGGCCATGAGCACAGAAAACTATGAAAGAGGGCTTATTAGATCCACGACAGAACATTTAATTAGATGATCACCATGATTCTTTGTATTCTCAAAGTCATATTGTTTCTGCAATGAAGACTGCCACGGATGGTGTATTGAACTTGCCACTCCTATTTCTATCTTTGATCGCTCTACCGCTTAATCGCATAATCCCTTGCTGCTATAGGAATCGTTACCGTTCTCAAGCAAGAGGAAACTTGGATCTAAAAGAACGTGGAGTGAGAACCTGAAGAAGAGTGGATTGGGCTGTCTCGGGATTGCATAAGAGAATGGTGCTCAAGTAGCATTCGACATGTCAAGAGGGTAGAAGAAGACAAATTCCCAATCTAAAGCTGAACCTACGCGCAGACTCAACCATTTTCTTTGACTGGTAACTGTAAGAATTGCAAAGGAAACCAATAAATAAGTGCTGACACTCGCATGACATGTGAGGACAGCTCATCCAAATAATATCTGAGGGAATTTGAGGATGACACTTATGAACTATAACAAATATGTGCGTTGAAGCTCATTTAAGGTGCGGCCATTTGAACATTTCTGATCTGGTGTTTATGAGAAATGGCTACGAAAAACTGCAAAAGGAAAAAAAAGGAGGGTAGACATAAGGCCTAAAGGAATCATAAGCTCTTTAGTGTACGATGTGGTCATAACTCTTTTCTGTAACATTATTGATGGTCGTTTTCTTGTTCATCAATCGCGAGGTTGTTAAACAGCATACATTTACTTCCATAGAAAAACACAATACAATACAACGCGAGCTGACGTTTCAGCAGTATCGCCTTCTTCAGAGCCTGGAAGGGTATGCTGATATACAATCTACTAGGCCAAACGCTTCAATCACACTTACAAAAAGACGAAGAACTCTTTGGTAATTACATGATCAACAACTTCTCGTAAAACCCACCGCTTTTTCGTGATTTCCAATGAGGAAGTTTAGAACAGCTGATTATAGTCGCATGTGGTTGACGACTGCACCATCCCACATCAAAAATCGATGCGAACATACTGGGTCAGGTCGCGTGTGACCTTTGGGCATTCATTCCTGCTATTCACTTTAGGGTTTTTGGCGTTTATGCAAAAAACCTCGAGAAGTTTTCGCGCTGGTGTTTTAGTCTCCTGTGCAAGGATATTGACTTTTACTTCAAAAAGTCTCCGCTATGCTTTTGTATCCTATGCGTGCCTAGTGGGGTACTTTGTCTTAGCTTTCGTTTGCCATCTAGGTGTTTTTGTGTACGGATACACAAAGGTCTCCCGTTTCGCCAATATATTCATCTCCGCAATTATTACAAAAGATCAGGTGTATCGTACCTTAACTCATGCAATTACCGTCCCTGCCGTAAGGGCAAGTTACGCAATTTGTTGTTTCACACAGACGGTCATACAGGCGGTTGCGAACTAATTGGCGACGTAGAGTAGCCGGTGGTATTTCAACTATCGCTAGCTATTCCTCTAGATCTGCCCTTTTTAAGCATCGTTTCATAGCTACGCTTACTTCATCGCTTATAAAAGGCACCATAAACGGGATTTTCATTCGGCCAAGTGTTTCGCGTGGGCGCGTCGTTTTCCTTCTAAACTTATCCCGTGGGATTAATATTTCGTATCCATTGGAGATGGCTATTTGCCGAGCCAAGTCGCGCGATTCTTCCTGTAGTTCACTGGTTGCGCACACAGAGGTGGTTGTTCGAAACATGTTTCTCACAAGCGCCCTCTTTGTGTGTGAAGGGTGGGAAGAAGGGAAAAGAACGAGGATGTTCTTGTTACGTGGCTTTCGGTACCACTTCGTCAAGTAACCGCTACTTGATGGGTTAATTTGAACGTTCAAAAACGGAAACCAGTTTTATCTCGGTTTCTCCCGGGTGAGCCTTATGTACTCAGACTGCTCGTTCAATAATTCAAAGCATTTGTCCATCTCCTCCTGCGTACAGAAGACGACAAAACAATCATCTACATATCTGCAGTAGAGTAGTGGCCGGAGATCGAGAACAGGGGTTTCTATCTTAGACATAAACACAATGGCAAGGCTTGGTGCCAATCGCTGTTTCATTGCCAGCCCCCTTATTTGTGCGAAATATTTCCCAGACCGTCTGAATATCGAGCAGTTTAGGCACTCCTTTAAGAGAGCCATTAGCTGCTGGATAGACAAGCCATGCATATTTATACTTCCTTCATGTTCAACAAGAAGTTCGAAGACGGCTTGCATTGCGGAGTCATTCGACACGTTGGTGTACAGTGCGATAACGTCGAAAGACTCCATCACGAACATTTGGGTGTTTGTGAGGTGAGCTTGAATGTGGTTAAGCAACTGGGAAAGTATTCGGCTTAGAAAACAGGTTATTCTATCCGTTGGCCTGTCTACACAGCTGATGATCGGTCTAACCTTAAATGATGACGGATTGGTTGACGCATGATCATCAGGTGATACCAACTTATGTGTTTTAATAAGTAGGTATAGGACGGGACATGTTGGTCTATCGATTTTAAAGTGCGAAATAACCGATGATTTTGAACCCGCAGCCTTTTCCACGCTGACCCATTGATTGTTTAGCTTTCGGTATTGACTTTTATATTCCTTTTCAGAGGATGGGCGATAGAGAGTAGCATCACTAAGATGCTCGTCTGTTATCTCAACATCCAGCTGGCGAGGGATAACTACGAACTCTCCCCTCTTATCACTAACAGACAGTCTTATTGTTTTCGAGTTGATTAATTCTCTAATTTCCCGCATGCCACATTTTTGTGCGGCTGTAAGGTTAGAGATAAATTTTCTATCGCGGTAGTGATCAAGGGTCGTCCGAAAACACGCGAAATTCTATGTCAACTCCATCGTTAGGGTTCTGCTGTCTAAAGAACGTTTTTGGGAAAGGAGATGGCGATAGTGTCGCCGCTTCTTGATTTTTATCTCTATTTGATGTTTCTTGCTTGGCCTGATAGCGGAGTCGATCTTGAAGCTCGTAAAGGTTGCATGCTTTCCTACGCAGGGTCGTTTCAGAAATGACCGATACTGCCGAAACGTCAGCTAGTGTTGTATTGTATTGTGTTTTTCTATGGAAGTAAATGTATGCTGTTTAAAAACTTCGCGATTGCTGAACAAGAAAACGACACATTCATATTCCAATGCCGAGGTTATTAGAAAGTCGATCCTGGGAATTATTGATAGTTTTAAAGAACAACTTACATCGTTTACTTTTTAACAGTGCCTAAAGCGTCCTGAGCACCAAGGAAACTGTAATGTGCAGTGAAAATATTAATCCTCTCAGCAAGGTTTCCAAATACGAGTAGTACGGAAGCTTTATCCGAAAGCCCAGCTCCGAATTATCACTGTCGTAAGGCAAAAAGGCAAAAGATGGCAAGTCTTTCTTTGAGTCACACGACTGCCTACAACGAAACTCTAGGGTTTCCAAAGCCCCAATTCAAACCTATTGAGGGGCTCCAGGAAAAAATCCTACTTGACGAGAAAATCACTTTTTGAGGGGATATTTTGCCGCGTTTTCATGATTCTTCATGAAGATGGGATCTTTCAGGTATCCAAGAGCCCAAGAAATTTATAGAGGATAAAAAACGGTGAAGCGTTCGGCGTTAATAAATCGTTGAGGGATGCTCCACGCATTCGACTTCATTAAGCATCGTTAGAGTGATTGAATGCATATCTAGCCCACAAAACCATTGGTAGTTGTCTAGCAATACCCCAGGTCTGCGCTTTTATGTTCTGAAAGAGGTCTGCTACCAAGTTGCAGACCCTAAAGGAATAGAAGGCTTGGTAACCGTGGGGCGCGAGATGGAACCTATATGTATTGCTCGGCGCCTCTAACCACCGCGCTACACGCGGTTCTTTATCTCTGTTGATCTATAGAGATAAAACCACATATTCAAATATATTTCTATGAAAGATACTTGAGTAACTCACCTTTGATCAGAATTTAGAGTGTTTGTTTTTAACGTTTTGACTGCAACATCAATCGGCTTTGTGAATAAACCAACGGTAAGAGTTCCTTTGTATACGAGGCCAAATTCACCACTACCAAGAGCATCGCCGAGCACTACCTGGTCAGTTGTAAGTTCAGTTGCAAATACTACAGCCAATTTTTTTTAAACTGATGACCAAATGCTTGGAATAAAACTCTTTATAAGGTACTCGTTGGTGGCGTGTGTTTTGCAGTGGTAGTGAGACAGTTCAGTACGCTCAAGCATCTGTCGCAATCCCACCCAAGACCAATCAACTCAGCCGTCACGGATCGGGAACACTGTGCCATACTTGTCAAGATTATCTCACTCCCTTCAACCAACAAACGATGGCGACTGTCTGTGATGCAAATCTGGGAATGCTCTAACATGGCTATCCCGGAATTTTAAGAGGAATCCACTCTAGCAAGATTTAATGTCATTTATAAGAGCAAAATTCTTCAAGCACCAGTCGTACTCGCACCTAAGCCTAAATGGCTATACGGATGACGGATGCGAGGAAACAAGCCACAGGCAGGAAGTGCTGGGATCAGCACACGAGTGATGCTGGGATTTGTGGAATAAAATCAACTAATTAACTATCGAGTAAAGAATAATAAAGGATAAGGCTGTTGGCATTGATCAAACTCGGAGGGATGCGCCATTCATTCGACTTCATTAAGCATCGTTTGAAGGTGATTAAATGCAAATCTGAGCTTTACGACTCGTGGTGGCCTACCGATGTATCGAGCCAGTGCTGCTTTCCTCCCAAACGAGTCTAGTACTAGTTTGCCAACTCCGGAGGAACCGAAGGCTTAGTGAGCCAAAGGTGCGGGGATCGATTCCACGTTTGTGTTGGAGAGCGCCGCCGACCACTGCGCCACACGCGCCTTTTTTAACTATCGGTTATATCTAAGTAACGACTTGCCTGCTCATGATATAATTGCCATTGTTCTCGTTCCACGCAAGATTTTAATATAACATCATCCTTATATACAGGTATTCTCATATCTTGGTGATATCTTATAAGGTCCGGTATTGACTAGAAAGATCAACGAAGATAAATCTTTGCCCACCTAATATAGTATTTTATAAAAATCACCTCGAAGCAGTACGTATCCAGCCAATAAAGATTTTTTTGACGCATTTCTTGAATATGTAGATGCAGTTTTTTAGAGCACGACTGCACAGAGATGATATAACCCTATAAATGTCAATGTCATATTCTGCCTCATTTTTGCAACCACTTTCTTTTCCAATCTGACCATTCATTTCGTAACTGTTTTTTTGTACATTCATTCTCTTACCTCGTTTCCTTTCACCACTGCCTTTCTTACCATAAATTCACCGTCCTTGGTAAGACATCGCTCTGCTTCCTCTCTAGTCATATATCCATGATAAAATGGCTCATCTTCGAGTGATGCATCAGTTTTTTTCCAATATGTAACCTAAACATAAATTTACGCATGTTCAACCAATCCATGATGAAGTCCATAGAAAAGGTAACATTTATCGAACACATTGCTCATGATGGAAGACGAGTTACTGAAGGTTGACGAGCGCTCGAGGAAGCTATAGGTTTCTTGACTATGTTTAACCGAAACCTGATTCCGTCTGATTACCGCATTCAAATGGTGCTTAATTTTCGGTCGCATTCGCTGTGAACTAATACTACCTCATAGCGGCCGATTCGAACAGCCCTTATACAAGTGACCTACCTTTTCTTGTAGTCTTGAGTTTACAGTCCGGTCTTCTATAGATTTCACTAATAATTTTCCCGTTGTTTTCCCTTACGTATTTTTTGGGTTCTTCAACATATTGTTCCGTTATGCTTTTAAAACACTTCAAATTCTTTCGCATGCGACCAAGAAAAACACTCGTCTAACATAGAAACACACACCAGCTCTTGCTAGTCGGTTTCATAAGAACTATGGAGCAGATCTTTGTATTCTTATAGCTGCCTATTCCGTACCATAACCGTTGGTTGGAAATGATATAACTACTGATTAATGGCCAAAACTAATTTTCATATGCTTAACACATAACGGACGGTGCTTTACTTTTTACTACTTTTCCGTAACTTTTAATAATTAAAGCATTTTCTGCTATATATATACATATATACAGTTATGGGAAAGTATATCCACCGCCTCATCGTGGCACGGAGGTGTTCCTGGGTATCCGTTAGATTGCGATGTACATCGGAGAAATTCACCCACGTGACAGGGTCTCCCAAACTGAGAAGGGATCCGGTATTTGCATCAGGAAGCCCAGCCAAGAGTAAACCAATACCAAGGTCGACCATCGTCCTGGCATCAAGCTAGCCACTTGATGGGAAATCTCTCTCTGATCCAAACAAGCGGCGTTTGCTTGTGGTTGTGACGACCTGGGCCAGACTTAGGACAGGCTGATCTCGGGACTCCACAGATACACAATCGCTAAACCAGCAAAACTCTGAAAAACGGTAGGATATTATGGGGCTGCGCAACCGGTGAGGGCGCACCGTCCAAGTATCTAAGTATATATATATATATATATATATATATATATAACGTCAACGATATGGTCAGTAAGTTAGTCATTCTGCAGGCTCCACTATTTTTTATTTCGGCATATAAAATTCATAATAAGTGTTATTCAGAACTGAGAATGTACAGGTATAGGAGAGCAGACATTTCCGCTCCCTTTTCAAGAAAAAGCATCTGTGATGGCCAATCTCTTTACCAGTAGGATTCCCTCACCGACGGAATAAAGTCGTTCGAAGAACAGATTCTTATACATCGTTAAATTTAAAATAACACTTCAGCTTAAACACCTAACACGACCATCAGCGTTAGATTAACTAACGATTTAATATCGAAAGAAAAAAAGGCCGTTATGTGCTAAAGTAAGTAACCACAAAAATAACCAGTTGATATGAACTCTGCCAGCCACACTGTTCATAAGCAAAGCATGAGTGGAAATTTGTCATGTGTTAAGGGCAATAGAGCGATCACATAGAACATTCAGGTAAAATCATTTGCATGATCGCATAACAACCCATGCGCACTGATATAAGCACTTGAGGCACATTTGAAATCCTAAGAACTTTCTTAAGATAGTTCCCGGTCGAAAAATGTTTAGTCTACGCAAGGATATTTCCACTAATGCATGTACGTTTTCACAAGTAACATGGAACACAAGCTGACCTTTTGTAGTCTAACGGAAGTCTTTGGCTGTGTCTTCGGCTGTGCATTGCTTGCTTGCTAGAAGAAAAGTGGGATAATGTTACTTTTCTTGGAATATTTTGGGCACAGTTGGCGCGTCCTTTACTCCAATGCACGAATTAAGTGGTGTTTGATTTGAGTTACGTGAGTAATAAGTTAAATGTGGTTGTAATGTTTTTTTGATATCTTTTGCAGTTGATTTGAATTTTTTCCATTGCCTTTTGCTGGTCTGCATGGTTATCCTCGTAAATATTTCGATTGCCCTGATCTTCATTCTCCTTAGAATGTAATTTTTTTTTATGGGTGCTTTGATAAGGGCTTTTACTTCATACGAGTTTATTTCTCTATTACTGGAGTCTTCTTTGAGATATCGATTGGTGCTGATCGAAAATTTTTGCAATGGAAGCCAAACGATAAGTTACGGGAATTATGTTCTTGGTCGCACTATATTTATTCTAAAAGAAGAAATTTAAAATGGCAGATTCCTTGGCGTAATTTTGTATTCTTGATTGCTAATTAAGACAAATAGGATTTTGTTACATAATAGGATAGGATTCTAAACGAAAACGAATGACTTCTTTCGACAATTACGAAGGGCGAGTGTGGCGCAGTTGTCAGAGGCGCCCTGCAACACACACGTGAAATCAATCTGCGCGCCTATAGCCCACCAAACCTTGCATCATCCTTCTGTGGTCGGCGAACTGGTACCGGACTTGTCTGAGAGGATAGCAGGGATTGATCGACGCGGAGAGCTTTATTCTTTATTTAATAGGGTAGGATACGTTGAATCTGTGAGGTTCGGAGAGGCAGGCATCCATCTAAAATTTTACTGGCAGGCAGTTGGCATAATTTTTTTGAAGTATTATTAATTTTAAAGCCTATAGTTTAGTGCTTAGTAGCTCAGACGGCGTACCAGTTTCATAGATAGAAGAAAATCCTAATTAATAGCTCCTGCTCTGAAGGTATCTCAGACGCCTCGTGGGAAACTGGTCCTAGTTTCTCGAAATCCACAGCGCTCGACGAATCCCCCATGAAATTAGATAACGAATGCCCTACTGTCACAACTATAGTGATAAAGTTATCGTTTCAAAAAATCATAATGCTCTACATAATTTTTCCTTTCCAATTTGAACTAGTGGAAAGTTAAAGGTACCTTTATTTCTTTATTAGCGATGGATTTAGTTTCCTCTAACGATTTCGTGACTTTTCCCTTCTCATCGACTAAACTCCCGACGAAATGCAGCTGCTGTAATAATTCTTATTATGGATCTATTATTAAATTGATTTATTGATTGGTTCATCACAGGGCTCTATGCGCTCTGACGGGAAGGGAATTTCACAAGTATTCCTGTGGTGTACGGTAACGTTGAATTCGGTCTTATCTTCTTCAGATGTTAATGCAATCGCTTTCTTCATTAATACTATGCCCGATTCACTACACTATGGGTAAAATGCTAAAATTAGAAAAAAAAATCAGCTGCTTTACCGTCTTTTCATCATCTGGCATAACAACTACGTTGATTTTAGATCCTACATTTTCCACATCCTTCGAATCACTCTCCTGAAGGGTAGAACACTTTTTATTGATCAGTTAACCAGATATCGTTATATCATCAGTGCTTGTATTTTTCTTCGAATCAGCTCACTTTTTCTTTAATCGGACGTTCTTGAGGATTCAGCTTGAGAAGAAAAACAAAAGTGGAAGTACTAAGAATAAAGATGAACAGATGTCATATTTCCGCAATAATTATCAGAACATTTGTTACGGGAGAGGTCTAGGACTATCAGATAGGTAGCCTTCTTTAACAGTTTTCCAAAGACTAAGTTCTTTTTAGACGCTATTGCTTCTCCGTATACGTTCTATTATTCAATACGCCCATTCACTGCCTGGCTGTGCCCACCTAAATTAATCCTCTCACATTTTTCATGTTTCTTCTCACTAACTATTCTCTCTTTCCCTCACATCCACTGACATATTCAAAATCCTTTTGAACAATCCTATGAAACTAAACTAAGGTTAAACAAACCTTGGCGATGTTGATCGAGGTCATAATGACGAATCTTTTGTGGAAATTCTAGAATACAACTATAATTCTCGTTTTTCAATAATACTTTCTGAAGGTAAAAGCTGAAAGCTCTCGGTGTTCATCAGTCCCTGAGGGATGCGGTATGCATTCTAGTTCACTAAGCATAGTTTGGAAGATTGAATGCATATATGACTCGCGGTGACCTACCAAGGTACACAAACGCCGATATCCTACCAGATAAGTTTTGTAACAAACTGCCAGGTTAGGTGGGGTGGAAGGCTTGGTGGACCAGGAGCATGGGGATCGAACTCATGTTCATGCTGCAGGGCGCTTCCGACTACTGCGCCATACGTGCCCTAATTTTTAATTTATGTAGGTATGGGTGTAGATATATTATGTGTCTGTAAACGTGTGTGCGTGTAATGTGCATACAGGATTTCTACGTGATCGAACTGTGCACAGCTTGCATGATTACAGTTTTAGGCCATTATAAAAACTTATTTACTTCAAATTTTGAAGGCTTCTCATCTGAAACAATCTCAGAAGTTGTGGATTTGGCTCGATGCTACTGAAATGGGCGTTTCACTTCAATGAGCACTGACATTCAACTTCGATATCAGGGTTTCCTTTTCTTAGATGTTTAGCCATCAACGCAGTTTAGGGTTTCGATTAGTGAAGATGATGTCATTTTGCAATTCATGACAAACTCGCGGAAATCGATAATCAAGTTCTCTAAGTAACGAGAACACTACCACACTGTGCCAGTAAACTTAAAGAAATTGACCGATATACTGCGAGAGAGGTGCACCATCCTGCACCATGATTCTGGATAATAGATACTGCCCTTCATTCAAATGATGTAAGTGCAGCTATAAAATGGTGTTTAAGAAGGGCCGAACTATAGAATTCGGTAACGATAATTGAAATGTCACCGAGTAATCCACGACCCCAGCTAGTTCGAAACCGTCCGGTCTATGTGCGACGCAAAATTGCATAATTTGACCAAATAGTAGAGACGGTGACTGCATGAGTTCGGGTACAGTTTACCTGATCTGTTGTAAAGCGTGGGAGGACGAATACATTGACGAAATGGCTAGACCACTCTGCGTGCGTATAAAAGCAGTTTAGGCACTCCTTTGAGAGTGTCATCAACTGCTGAATCGAGTAGCCGTACATGTTTATTGCTCCTTCTTGTTTTATAAAGATGTCGCGGATGGCTTGCATAGTGGAGTCATTCGACACGTTCGTATAGAGGGCAGTGACGTCGAAGGACTCCACCACGTACGCGCCGTTGGATCGCACGTTACGTAGACGATCCAGGAACATTTTGGTGTTCGTTAGAAATCCATTAAGGTCTTAACTGTTCAGAATATAATAATTCGAATCTCGGTGCATCAGAATCAGCAGCGTTCAGACCTTAATGGATCGAAGCACGCAGACAAT